CTGCAACCCCTGCTCATGTTATCTATCCTACTTATTCCACCTTAAACTGATCTGGATACCACTGCACTTCAGTCTGCCATGCCCAAATGCCTTCTTAGCGCTCTCAGGGTAGATTATTTGTGAGCCTGGTTACAGTAATGTGCAGAACAAGCAGCAGCCACAGGCAGTACAATAGAATAAATAAAAATCCACCTTACAGCAGGGTTGTGGGGGGATGCGTCTTTGCACACTCAATTCTTGGCGAGAGGCCAAATTTAAATGAACTTTTGTCTTTTGAGTGGCACCTAGGAATTTCCTTCCTTCTCCTATAAAAAATTCCCTACAGATATCTCTGAATCTGACTGTCTCTGCTCCTAGTTTGAAGTACAATACTATATTTGGAAAAGGCATTTTAATTAAAAACATCCTGTGGTTCACTCTGAATTTGCTGCTTGACCATCAAGCTTGGAAAGGCCCTCAAAGATTATCTTATCCTGCTGTGCCTAAGTAGCCTGAAGAAAATACTTCCCATCTCGTTACTGTGATTTACCTGCTGGTCGTAAACCTGCTGAATAACCTTTGCACATTCAGGGGTTGATGATTGTCAGTTAGTCAGCATATGCATTTCTGGGCAGTATATTCTTGCTACTGCAGTGTGGAGTGACCGTGCTACACCGTGAGAAATGCCTGTCCTTTGGCGGGACCCAGCAGGAGGCTGAATGTCCTCCCCTCCTATGGAAATTGGAGAATAGATGATGCCTAGAATCTCCCCAGGGAAGCCCCACTTCTCTCCAGGTATGGATTAGCTTTGGAAAGGTCTCTGTCAGCTTAACAGCTGTCCATGGGGCCGTGCTCTGCTGCCCTTTGCAACGGGGCGTCCTTTAGGTGTCACGTCCAGCGCCGCTTCCTGGCCACGGACCACTGAAGCTCACCTGAGCACCAGCACCCTGCCTGCTCCTGCACAAGGCCACTGCACCACAAACAGCCAGTTCATGAGCCTGCAAAACACTCCAAGAAGAGAAATACACATGAGCAGAATGCACCAGACTTAGTTCTCCTCCCTCATTATTAGCTTGGGGCTGATGGAGATGCAATATTTCTGGTATTAGAGTGTCGCTAGACAATGTATTTTCCTTTTAAACACCTCCTGCTGAGCTTGGGAGCCTCCCGCTGCTTGTGTTGCCTCCCTGTTTAACTCTGCTGTGGCATCAAAAAAGGAAGAGAAACTTTGATCTTGACATGCCCTCCTTCTCTGTCCCTTGCTACAACTTCTGCAGGAAAAAAAAAGTGATCAAGTGCATCTATTACCAGTCCTTTCAGGGCAGAACAGATACTTGTATCAGATGTCTTCTCAAAGCCTTTGATGCCCAGCTGAAGTTGAAGCTGAACTGTCAGAGGACACAATCTGAGCACTGGCTTTATCACCTTCCCCATGCTGACTTCTGTGTAACTTGCACACGTGGTTAAAAGTGCTCTCTCCCAAAGTGGGTGGATTTAAGCCATTACTTGTTGTGGCTTCTTGAATTGAGGCGTCAGCGAGGACTTTTGGTAATGAACATTGACATAGCAATTAGAGTTCAGCCATCAGCTGTGCTCTCATAACTCTGCTGTAGCCAGGTCTGCAACGTCTTTTGGGGGAAGAATTCTTTTGACTTGCCTTTCACCATCCATGGATCTGAAGGTATCTGCCACTTGGATCTTATCTTTTCCACTGCTTAAGTCTATGCGGTGTTACTTTCCTCTTGTTAGCTGTGAGCACATTTCTAATGGCCAAGTGGACCTCTAGTTCAAGTATATGTAATTCCACTCTTGTGTAGCCTTATTCTTTTCCCATTCTTCCTTGCCAACCTTAGGAGTGAAATTAATATGGGTCTTAAAATGCTTTCCTGCAACGTAGACTGAGGAGGAACTGTATTGGTATCAGATAATTCAGGGTTAATATATTATTTTGAAATAGCCGATTGAAAAAGGCTACATTATAATTACATCTCATACTGCTGCAGGCTTTCGGAAACATGGAGCAAGTCCTCTGGGGTTTGCAGCTGGTACGGAAAAGGTTGGTGTTTCCGCAAGGACTCCATTAAAGGCTTTCCAGTGCCTTAACTGACTGCTTGCTAGTATAGTGAAAGGGAAAAAGAGCGTGTGGCTTTCCTGTCCCCCACTCCTTGAGTGAGAGGGCTGTTGCTAAACCTATAGGAAAGGCAGCAAGACGCTGGGGGTCTGCCAGGGAAGCGGGCAACACAGCTCCCCCGGGAGTCACTGGGTGCGTTAGTCAGCAAGAGAGGAAAATCCGCTCTTCAGTCGTGAGGATATCAGATTGCCTAGGGATGTTAAGGACCTTGTTTTGCCATCCATGCAAAGGAGGGATTTTGATACAGTTGGCATCATTATAGCACAGTCACTAAATTGGCCTTTTTTTTCCCCAATAAGCTGAAGGCAATACGCAAAAAAACAGCACTTTCCAAACCATGTTTCCTACATGGCTGTTCATCTATCACCCGTACCAACTGGCATTGTAATCTGTGAGAATGGAGTAATGGCCTTTTAACGTTACGCTGATATTGAATGGGTGTTCGGTGTGCTGCCAGACAGGCCACAACGCGTGCAGAGCTGAGCCTGGGTTGTTGGTGTGCATTAAGTAAACAAAACTTGCCCTCTGCCGTGTCCTCATCTCTCTTCTGTGTTAAGAAGAGAGGGAGACAAGTACCACTTCAGTGTCATCTTTTAAGTGATTTTAAGGTGATACCATTTCATTTGTGACTAAATAGTAAGGCTACATTTTCCCCTTTACTCTGAATGCCTGAAAAGTTCATTAATATTAATGTCTGGAGAGGAAGTGTTTAGCCTACTGATGTAGGAATGAGATCAGGAGCAAAGCATAGCTCTACAAAGATTCATCCATAGATTAGAGTTAAAAGCAACCATCAGCTGAAGTCTGACCTCCTATCTAATACAAGCCGTGGAATCACATCTGCTTTTAGCATCAGAAAATACAGTGTATTAACATATTGTAATACAGCAATATCTTCAGGCTTTTCTCATTTTTACGCTACAACCAGGAGCAAACGGTACAGTGCCTTATGATATTGATGGAAAACCTGCAGGAGGACAGAGTTTTGAGTATTCTATATGTCTGCAGAGGAGACACTTGTATATCTGTACAAGTATTTGCAGAGGGTTTTGTTTAGTACTTTGAGAATTAGTCACTGGTAGCTCCAACCAGTACAGAGCTGAAAATTAGTTCTGTATCTCTTTGACAACAGCATGGCATATATTGAAATACGTTGTGTTTTTTTTTTTTTTTAAGAAGAAGAAATTTTCTTGAAAAATCTATGTGGTCCTTGACAATTGCTTGCTAACATCTTCCTCTGGGAACTCCCTGCCAGCCAGCTTTCATAGGAAACATGAAGCACGTTTTACATCTGGCCTCCCATCTCTTGGACTATAACACAAAACCACCCTTGAAATCCACCTGGAAAGCATTCAGATGGATACCACACATGCACAAAAGATGAGTCTAAACTGGTTACACTGGGCTATTACATGTTCTAACCGCTAGCCAACATTTTGCTGAGCAAGTTGCTAAAGGCATGAGATGAGGATCTTGAATTTGATCAGCGGGGACTTCTACTAATGAATTTAGATGGTCATTATATTTATCATTTTTTATATTTTTTTATATATATATATTATTTATATACTCTCTCAATATATGAATGGCATATAAATATACTACATAAGCATAAATAGGTGTTATTTTTATATTTCATAAATTACATTATTATGTTTGTTATATTTATTATTATATTTAGCACATCGTACTGATGAAGTGCTAAAGGGATGAGATCAAAGAATTCAGAAGAGAAGTAGTGATTGGTACTACACAAAATACGGAGGTCCCAGGCTAGATACATAGGCGCTATCCTAAAGGAAAAAATCCCCTGCCCAGGCTGGAGGTGCACCAGCACCTTGGTGTGCCCCATTTTTCTGTCAGTAAGATGCTTTGGGGGAATCTTTTTGTTCTGTTTGTGTTTTGGATATAAAGTGCATTTGACTCTTGTTTTTTGAGTTTTTTTAGTAAAAAAAATGGCTAGCTACTCGTATTGAAAGCAGAGGTTTGTCCCATGGCTCCAAGAACTGGAGTTTCAGTATGAACCCTGAACTTCATAAAGCCTGCAGTAATAATTCGGCATTGTAATAGCTTGTGTCATTGTTGCGGTGTAAAGTAAGATGTGATTTAACAACCAGTAGAGTTAAGCTGGTGCAAAGCCGTTTGCCAAGGGTGTTGTACAGGCGAGGTGGGGAGGCTCGTTATGGCTCTTTAGCCAAAGGTTGAACACCACCACAGCAGATGTGCGCAGTCTGCATTGCCTCATATGCTTCATTGCAGGGTCCTCAGGAAATCCTATTTGAATGAATGTTCCCCTTAGGGAGTACCAGAAACCTCCACGGGCCTTATTTCTTCTACCAAGGTCAAAGCCAAGAAACAGGCCGAAGTGATTAATTCTCTATCATAAAAGACATCAGCAACACAAACTGTTCAGAGGACATCAGAGCACATATTGTTTTCATTTTGACAAGCTTTCTGATGCAGTCGTCTTCCTATGCTGTCTCAGCACTGAAAGGTTGGGCTGGGTCCAGCACTGCTGCAGCTGTGGGATGGGTCACGGAGGGGAGGAGAGATCCTTTCTCTGTGCCTAAGAAATCAGTGACAGCATCGCAGGATAAGAGTGCTGTAAACACCCTTGCCACCAGGATGTGTGAGCTCTTGTGGTCCTTTGCATCGGCTTCAAAGTGGAGGCCTGGACAGTGTCCATGAGCAGCATTTAAGCAGATCAAGAAGTCTGGAGACAAGAAAAAAGCTCTTCTAGCTTAGGGAGAATTTTTACTCAGCCCTGTAATGAACTGTTTTAAGTTCTATACAGGCAGTAATCTGTTTTTGGAGGAATGTGTATAGTCAGTAAAAAGCCAGTTAGAAGTTCCAACCTGTATGACTTATTTGTGCTTGTGCTTCTTTGCAGTTGTCCAACACAGCAATCCTTCATCAGATTAGACGAGACCAAGTGACAGACACATGCCGAGCAAACAGTGTATCTAGCAGGAAACGCCGTGTGCTGACACCTAATGATCTCAAACACCTGGTCGTGGATGAAGACCATGAAATGATCTATTGTTACGTTCCCAAAGTGGCCTGCACAAACTGGAAGAGAGTCATGATGGTTTTGACAGGAAGAGGCAAGTACAGTGATCCAATGGAAATACCAGCCAATGAAGCCCATGTGTCTTCAAATCTGAAGACCCTCAACCAATACAGCATCCCAGAGATCAACCACCGCTTGAAAAACTACATGAAGTTCCTGTTTGTTCGCGAGCCTTTCGAGAGACTGGTGTCGGCCTACAGGAACAAGTTCACCCAGAAGTACAACACCTCCTTTCACAAGAGATACGGCACCAAAATCGTAAGGCGCCAAAGGAAAAATGCAACCCAGGAAGCTCTGCGTAAAGGCGACGATGTGAAATTTGAGGAGTTTGTGGCGTATCTCATCGACCCACACACCCAAAGAGAGGAGCCCTTCAATGAGCACTGGCAGACTGTGTACTCCCTCTGCCACCCCTGCCACATTCACTACGACCTCATAGGAAAATACGAAACGCTCGAAGAGGATTCAAATTACATCCTTCAGCTCGCGGGAGTAGGCAACTACCTGAAGTTTCCCACCTATGCAAAGTCCACGAGAACTACTGATGAAATGACCACAGAGTTCTTCCAGAACATCAGCTCGGAGCACCAAACGCAGCTGTATGAAGTCTACAAACTTGATTTTTTAATGTTCAATTACTCAGTGCCAAGCTACCTGAAATTGGAATGAGGGATGGGTTGGGGGGAGAGAGGGGAAAGAAAGCCTGTTTTATTTAAGATTTTTATTTGTCATAATAAATATGGAGAATGGGTTATTTTGTAAATTAAATATTTTCTTTTTTGAATGATGCTGCGAGCAGCACAGTCAAAATTATTTAAATCAACTGTAAGAAAGGACAGCTCTCTTTGCAGGGTAACAGCATTGTGACGATCTAGCTGTAGAAATGAATAATACTGCTACACTGTTTTAAAAATGTTAATTGTGTTCTGGTGAATTTCACTGATCTTGCATTCCTCAAATTCTAACTAATGTTATTTATACTTATTTAAAACATGGTCTCTTGGTAGGTTTCACTTTAGCAGCAGAAATGAGATAGCATTTGGACAAAAGGAATCTGGTTTTGTACTTTCCTCGTGTGAGCTTGCCTCTGGATGTTAATATTCTTCCATTAGCCTTTCGTGCAGGCAAATACGGGAGTGGTTGTTGATACCACATATTTCGAAAATACTGGCGGAAGTAATTTCTCCAGACAATGATATTGCGCTTAAGCATACTAAAAGGCTATCTTCCTAGCCCTGAAAGGGAAAAATAAATCAGATTTGTGATAGATACGTGATATCTAAAATTAATGACTGAAAGCAATGTGAATGTATTCCTTGGAAAGAGAAACCATGAACTTTTTAATCTGGTCCTAATAATTTTGTCAAGAATATAATGAGAGTCCCAGTGTCTCATAATTCCCAGCCTGCCAGCCCAACTGAATGCAGATTTGCATCCAGAATTGGATTTGTGGGTGCTGCATCAGGAAAAAAAAAGCATTTTGACAGTGACTATGGAGATTTTTGAATGCCTAAAGCAAAAGACGCTTAATCCGTATCCAGGATTTGGAGGATGAGGGCCTCCCACCTTCTGAAAATCATGCCTTCTTAACCAATGGGCAATCAGAATTGGCTAACGTGCGCCAAAAATACTGATCATAATATGTTCCTATAAAGGATGTGGGCGTGTCATTTAAAAAGTCAAAACGTCCTCTTCATGTTGACCTCAAAGCATACAAGGCAATAAAAAAGGTCTCTAATCTTCCTACATGCTGGTTTCATGGCTTGTTTTTCAGTTGATGCTGAAATACCATTCACAAGTGTGTTTCTAATTTCCAGTGAGTTAATATTCCATCTACATTAATTCTAGTATGAGAAGATGACCTTTTCCCATAAGGTGAATGTCTCAGTAGCAGTTGTCTTTACAATATTTGTTGGGATGGCAGATTGTACAAGTAGTAGAATACCGAGCAATTGTTTTGAACAGGCGAGTGAGTTGTTCACAGCAAATAAGTAAGGAAAAAAGATGGCATTTTAATGTGGAACTATTAGCAAAGTTCAGTGAGCAGAGGCTGTACAGGCTTCTCCAAATGTTTACTTTAATTTGATGTAAGTGAGATGTACAACCAGGGGGGCAGTAGGAGTGTGACTGGGGAAATGGTCCATACCTACAACCAAGCTGGCCTGACTAGTTTAGTGAACCAGCTCGATAGGTGCTTTCACCTGGCTGATGCAGAAGCGAGAAGCCAGAGCAGAAGCGTCTGGCTGAGTAACAGATGCCAGGAATGTGCTTCTTGGTTCTCAGGACGACAGCCTGTGTTTTCACCACCAAAAAACTACAGCGTTCCAAAAAATCAAGGGGCAGTTTTGATTTTGCGAGCCTTCATTAACCTGAAATTTTTTTCTGGCAAACAAAAGAGAGGTAATTGGCAAAAGGATGCAGAGGCTTAAGTCGAGAACTTTACGGGAACCTAAAATCTGTTTTACAGTTGTTTGCTAAATTGGGGTTTTTGAATTGCAATCTTCCTATGAGCAAATCCAACATTTCTAAAAATTAGTCAAGATTTAGATAAATTCTGCTGAAGGTAGAGAGCTGTTTTGACAGGTTCAGGACCAGATAAAAAAGTCCTAGTGTACTGTAGCGGATAGTATGCAATGAATTACATTAGCCTCCAAGACACATACATGGTTAAAGGAGAAAAAATAGGATCCGTCTTATTTTATAAAAATAAGTCTCAGTGAAGAACAGATTAGCATAACAAACAACAGCTAAAGTCCTTTCACAATTGTATTTGGTCTTACCCAGGATTTGGGTCATTTTTTTTTTTATCATACCCTACATATAAATCTCTCATCCATTCTGGAACAGGCACAGTTTTTATAACCCAGGTCCTATTTATAATCTAGAAGACTAACACAATGGCTAGTAAAGAACTCGCTGTCTAAATTTGACAACTCTGAATTCCTAAGTGGTTTCTGATTGCTGACTAGTGTTTTTACTTGAAAGCAGTTTTGTCTCATTTGCAGTATGTGGAGCTGTTGCAAGTGCCTATCACAGTGTGCCCTGTTTTTCTGTTATTTGTAGTTCAATGGTTTGTTAAAAGGAAAATCTGTATGAGGGTAGAGTTCCCCCCCTCCAACCCCGCACCCACCATTTCCAGCAAGCTATTTATTTGCTTGTTTGGTGTTGTATCCAGCAGTGCTAATGTTTTGGTCCAATTTTATCTTCAGTTATCTGTTAGTCCCCTCCCACCACATCTGATTTAAAGTTTTTCATTTAAGAAAAAGAAAAATCACTTCAAAAAGGAAATACTTAAAAATGGGGTGTGCTTTCCCTCTTCTTTTTGTACTTTTTGCTTATCTCTGTCATCACCGCATGGTTATCTGTTCTTAAAAATTCTCTTTAGCTTGACTGCTTTGGAGACACAAAAGCATATTTGACAGTTGTGATAGAAAAGCTGTAGGCAAAAAGCACGTTGAGCAGCTCTGAGGGGTATGTGCTCTTTGAGCTGGGTTTTTTAACAGCATCTTTGGGTTTGGTTACCCACCTCTCTGCAGAGGCCTGGCATACAGGTGTACGCGCAACCCTGAAATGGCTTTTATGCAGTCTTACATGGGTACTTAGAAATCACTTGCTTTTTAAAAATCTCGGTCCCAAACTACTAAAAACTGTTGATTTCGCATGTTGTATCTGGAGTGCCACATATTGGTTGTGGCTTTTTGTTGAAAATGCACAACAGACATGTAGGATGAGATCTTGTCCTGCATGCTGAACACAGAGCCCTACGTAGGTCTAACTAGAGAAGTGTTGGGTAGTAACCTTTTTTTGACTACTGGATGTGCTGTTTTGACTGAGCCAAAAGATGCTTTTTTTCCACTGACCCTCATAGGCAGATCTGCAGGGACATACCTCCTCAGCTTAGAGAGCTGGCAACCAGCTGTTTTACAGGGAGAAGGCAGGCCAAGGAAGCAAGTTTCTGTTATCCCATCTCTTCATTACTTCTCCAGCCTGGAGGAATAGGGATCGTTGGCTGCTGAGCTCCGACTCGTTCCCATGCCCACCCTGGAGAGATTAATTTTTGCTGTGGGCACAGCTAGTCCCAGGAAAAGAAAAGCCAAAACGCTATCCACAGCAAAATTCAAAATACACACAAGGCTGCAAGAGACGCTTGGGGAGCTGCTATTTTAGAACAACATATACTGGTTATGGTCAAGTAATGGTGAAACTAGAGAAGAACAGCTGGGGACTGTCCTAATCCTCACCGCTGCTACCAGCCCCCTCAAAACCATTGGACCTTAAGACAGGTGAGACCCGTATTTGCACAGCAGGTGCTTCCCCATCAGCTCTGCAGGAAAATCCTTTGGCAGGGCCAGTGCTGAGCCCAGAGGCACTCGTCTTTCCTTGCAGAGGAAGATACCGACAGCGGTGGGTTCGTTTCTCCCAAAGAGCTCCAAGCATGTCAGCTTGGCTCCCAGTTGGGATTTGGCCCATCTGAACACGGTGGTGATTTCTGGGGATTGGGGGGAAATGTTGAATCTGAGTTCTTCCTTGCTTCAGCCCCTTTATAAAACATGTCCATTTTCACAAAAGCTTACAAACTGCCTGAATCATGCATTGCATAAGACGTGTGAAATAATCCACAAGCAGAAGTGCTTTTAGAAGTCAGTTGACCCCAGATGTTTTAGGGTTTCACTGTAGTCTGCTGCACTTTTCAGGTACAAAAAGGGACTGTCCTTACTATTACTCTTGTTACAGAGAGTGTTATTTTCTTACATGCATGCACAATAAAATGTGTACGAATAATTTAACATCAATGTGGGATTGAATTTTTTTTTTTTTTTTACTTATTTGTATGCAGTAGAAGGCTTGTTGTAGAAGAGTATCTCCTCATACCTAAATATACTGTTAATAAAGAAAAAAGCTAAATTATACATTGCCAACACAAGTATGAACTGCTCATGAATCTTTCCTTAAAAAGCCATTCAAGCCTGATTATTTTTCTAAGTAACTTCAATTAAATTGAAGAAAGAAAGTTCTCTCTGTGTGCTTTATTTCTGGCTTACACTCTCAGGGTTGAGGGTGGGATTTTGCTTGCAAGTCTTTGCTTTCTCACAAGGGCTTTTGTGGTAGTACAAGCGAAAGACTCAAGAATCACATACTAGTGTGGAGCTGGAAAGCTAAAATCATTTAACAGCATCACTCTTGCTCCCTTCCTCCCCCAGTTCCCCCGCAACATACTGGAGCAGAAGAGGAGACAGCATCCTTCCATCTCCTTGCTCTTTCCCAAGTGAGCCAAAACCCAAGGATTGCTCAATGAAGATTAAACACTCCAGACTCGAATCTCATTTTCAGGACAGGCACACTGGGCACCTCTCTAACCCCAGGGGCCACCTGAAAGCAGATGCAGTAAAGGAGCTCAGGTCCCACAAGGGGCACCGCTGCAGCTATTTGTGGTGTTGGCCCTTTGGGTGTCTTAACCATACCTAATTTCTCTGCACAGTCAATGGAGAGAGGTACCTGGAGGTGCCTCCTCAGCCCACCTAAGTTAGAGACCAAAGCAAGGGGAAGAGCTGGGAGAAGGGCACAGGCGCCCCCACAGTCTTAGGACACATGGCTCTCACGTCAAAGGAAAGACAAAACAACAACACGGAAAAGGCTAACAAAAATATTTACCCGAGAGGACCATTTCAGCTCTGTTTTGCTCTTGAACACAGAACCAGTGTGGCAGTTAGCCACTTTACTCCTACTTAGGCACTTGATTTGCTTAATAGAAAAATTAAATGCCTAATAGCCTCTCTGGGGCTGGGCTGGGTTTTCAGTCAGTAGGGATGAGAGCTGTCACTGGAAGCCCTGCAGCATGCCCAGAAGCATAATCCCACCTCAAACACGGGCAGATTAGAGTCAGTGAGATGAAAAAATCCCAGCAATCTGATAACGCTTTAGGACGCGGGTAAAGGTTTTCCTACCTTAATATAAATTTGCTCATAACAGCTTTTAGGTAAACATTTCCGGCACGCCCCAAACCTATGTTGTCTCAGCCATGGCTTCACTGAGGCCACATCTAACCCCAGAGCAGAAGCTGCCAAAGGTGATTTGAAGACAAACTTCTGTGAGAACATTACCACCATAAATAATGTTTAGGAAAAATATTTCCCTGGACAAGCCAAGCCGATTAACAGGAGCTGACTTGGAAGATGGCCAAGAGGGGTT